TTACCGTTCAGTCAGTGCAAAGTAAAACACCCTGAGCCACCTCCATTCAGTTTTATTTTTTTTCCCCTCCTATTCAGAGGCTGTCCTCAGCCATGGGGATGAAGCTTTTGCTTTTTGGTCACTAAATGCAGACCAGAACCCAATTCAGATTTCAGTCTGTCCTGTTTCCTAGGGCTAGGAATCACCTGCTTCCTCCCTGCTTTTCTTTTTTTTTTTTTTTTTTAAAGATTTTATTTATTTATTTTTTCCCCCAAAGCCCCAGTAGATAGTTGTGTGTCATAGCTGCACATCCTTCTAGTTGCTGTGTGTGGGACGCGGCCTCAGCATGGCCGGAGAAGCAGCGCGTCGGTGCGAGCCCGGGATCCGAACCCGGGTCGCCAGCAGTGGAGCGCGCTCACTCAACCACCAAGCCACGGGGCCGGCCCCCTCCCTGCTTTTCTAAAGCATGTTTAGTGTATCCCTAGGTTTCAAAGGATTTTTCAGTATTGCTTTCTAGCATTATGAAACACAACTACTTTAGAATTTCCATTTAACCAGGAATTAGTTTGAAAGGTTTTGATTCCCAACCCCTGATTCTACTTTTAGGCCAACTGAGTAGTTCATTTTAATACTTATCCAAAGTGAAATTTGATTGACAGTGTAGCACTTAATTTTTAAAGCATAAACTTGAAATAATAGAATTTTTAATGTTGGACTGTGACCAAGGACCAAGTTTTTACCAGTCCATGGAGAAATGAGAAAAATGATGTAGTGGGCTTTTTGAAGTACCATCTTGGAGTCTGAGCTAATGACCTTCCAACTTTTTAAAAGGGTATTTCAAGATTATAAAAATGAAAAGATGGTGATGTTAGATGGCAGTCGTCATTTTTAAATCTCCTTAGTTGGCAAAATACAAGTTGGTACTCCTATATTGCTTTTGTTTTTCCTGGTCCATGACATCTCTAACATTTGTGAACCATTCATCTTGACCAGCCCCATCACTTCATAACTGAAGAAGCTGAGGCCAGGAATGGCCGTCTAATACAGGAATTTATAGGCTTGAAGAAGTGCTCTGCATGTGAATGGTCATTGTGGGATAATATTTGAGCCCTCACTACCAGCAATTTACTATGCTAAATGTTAAGTGTTTTACATTTTACTTTTATTATCTTATACCCACAAAACCATCTAGGAGATGTATTTTTCTTGTCCTCTTTTTATGGATTAGGAACCTGAAGCATAGTAAGTAACTTGCCTGTGGGCACACAGTTTAGGAGTGATGGAGCCAGAATTTGATCTCAAGCACTCAGACTTCAAAACCACACCGTTATTTTTATTTATTTATTTATTGAACAGCTCAAATCGTTTATTGTCAAACTAACCTGATCATCCTTGGGCCTTTAGGACTGCTAGGGTCCTGGGAAACCTCAGAGTGTATCCTGCTTGATCCAGACCTTCTTGGGCTTGATGTTTCCACACTTCAGCTGTGGTGCCTTCTGCGTTGGTGACCTCATTGAAGTCAAATGTGGTGACATGGTACATATTGCCTATACCCCTTGTCTTCCTCTGTGGGGTTCTCCTGGAGTCAGGCTCCAGAGCCAAGGGAGGACAGCCAGCTTATTCACCTCTCCCAGAGGCTGGATGCTGTTGCCATGGAGATAGAGGACACTCAGGTTGAAGAAGGTTGTCAGGACAGGGTCAGTGGAAGTCAGGTTACTGAAGGACAAGTCGATCCAGGCCAGGTTCTTGGGATGCTCCAGCAGCTGGGAAACCACATTGTTGAAGTCTTTCAGGTCATTGAGGACATTGTTTTCCAGCCACAGGGACTGGGTCAGTGACTTCCCTGACTTTGAGTGCCTTAGTGGTCTTAGGCCTGTCCTTGGCTCCTCGCTTATTAGATCTTGGATCACGTGGATGCTTTGGAAGGAAGAGGGCGAGGGGGCTCCTGCACCAAATTATTCCTATAGTCCTGTTTGCTCACAGCTCAGGCTGTCAGTTGTCACGTGTAAGCATCGGCCCTGGGAGTCCGAGTTCAGCCCTCAGTTGCTTCCCCTCCAGCCTCGGTGGCCCACTACGTCAGGGTTACTAAGCGCAACTCCATGGCAGCTACCAAAACCACACCTTTAGATGCTATACACTCTCTCCATGCATCGTTGATATAAACAATCCTGCTCATCACCTCTTTCATGAAGCTTTCTCTAAAAATCTGGAGTAGTGGCAATTTCTGCCCAACTTTTCATGGACATCTTTTCTTCCATGAGCACCTTGTGAACTTTTCATTCACCACCCTGCTAAATGAAGCCACCTGCTTGTACCATCTATACACAGACACAATTTTTTCTGTCTCCATTTGATCACTCATATATCAAAGATGTTTTAAGAAATTTTTCTGACAAAAATATGCTCCTAATGTCTTTAGATTCTATTCTAAGAAAGTCTCAAAGTCTAATCTGTCTTTGTTGAGATACCAAAATCCAAAGGCAACTAGTCCATCAGTCTTTCCATTTCAAAAGGTTAAGGGCCTAGACGGCTGCCCTCCAGGTGGCTGATATATACTGACATCATTGGCGCCCCAACAAAGAGCACATTGCTTTATAAGGCCTAGGTAAGTGTAAGGTGCCATTACATCACAGGCCAGTGTGAATATCAGCTGTGCTGGAAACAGGGGACATGGCCAAGGAGTCAAGAATTGTAAGGGTAAGAATATAGCTTTAGGTTTCTTGGGTGTATAGTCAGCACTAGAAGGGATTAAATAATGGACCACACACAGAAGCTTGAGAAATTGAAAGGCAAAGTTGACATAAGATGTTATCAGGTCGGGCCGGCCCATGGCTTAGTGGTTAAGTGCGCGCGCTCCGCTGCTGGCGGCCCAGGTTCGGATCCCGGGCGCGCACCGACGCACCGCTTCTCCGGCCACGCTGAGGCCGCGTCCCACATACAGCAACTAGAAGGATGTGCACCTATGACATACAACTATCTACTGGGGCTTTGGGGAAGGAAAAAAGGAGGAGGATTGGCAATAGATGTTAGCTCAGAGCCGGTCTTCCTCAGCAAAAAGAGGAGGATTAGCACGGATGTTAGCTCAGGGCTGATCTCCCTCACAAAAAAAAACAATGTTATCAGGTCACTGATAGCTAGAAAGGGCTTCAACACCACCTCATGCCTGAAAAGGGTGTGGAACTTCAAATCTCTGCACAATCTCTGTAGATAAAAGTACCTTGTTCTTGGGGCCAGCCTGGTGGCACAAGCGGATCCGGGGCGTGCACCGATGCACCGCTTCTCAACCCATGCTGTGGCGGCGTCCCATATAAAGCAGAGGAAAATGGGCACGGATGTTAGTCCAGGGCCAGTCTTCCTCAGCAAAAAAAAAAAAAAAAAGGATTGGCAGATGTTAGCTCAGGGCTGATCTTCCTCACACACACACACAAAAGTACCTTGTTCTTTTCTTTTACACTCAAGACACTTTTGAAACTATTTAATTCCTTCTCAAGAATCATGTCCTTGTGCTCAAAGGAGGGAGCCATAGCCTGTTTTTTGAAACCAAGTTTAGAATTTGTGTTTTTCCCAAAGCCTAGTCTTTCTTTGGAATCACAAGGCTGGAAAGGAGGATATTAAGGTCATTTGATAAGTGATCTGATCAATTAACATCCTTGCTGGATGACTTTATTTTGCTTTTGAAGGCCAGAGGAAAAGGTGATTCTCCTACCTGCCTAAGAGTTGATAATTTTAAATTCCAAGTTAATATTATGCTGCAGTTAAATCTTGATACCTGGAGATGTCACCAAGGGCAAAATCTTTTGAAAAGGCTGATGTTCGATTTAAAATCTAAGAGGACCAGTAGCAGGTAATCAAGAAAAGAACTCCATCATAGAAGGAGATAACTTGCTGTGCAGCGCCTCTTTATGGGTGACCAATTTTTTGCAATTGGTTTCTTTAAAAAAGAAAAAGAAACGGGTCAGATAATCCTCCCGTGTTTTCTGCAAAAGTTAAAAAGTGTTGGGCATCAGTTGCATGCTAATAATATTATCGTACCAACATAAGTGTGAGAGACAGTGGTGATTAAAGATCATGGCCTTTGCCATGATCGTACAGATTTAGATCATACAGATCATACAGATTCAAACCTAAAGCATACAGATTTAGGTTTGAATCCCACTCACTTGTTCTAGGATGAGGCTGGGCAACCCAATTTCTCTCAGCCTGTCCTCAGGGATCACAATAATACCTATCTCAAGAGTGTTGTGAGGATTAAATGAGATGATCCATATAAAATACATGCTTGTCCAGAATAGACAAAGCAGTTACACCCCGAGGCCCTGCTGGTGGTTTCTTTCAGCCAGCTGTTGGCCTAGGGCAGGCCTGAATCCTAATGCTTCCTTACACCATCTAGTCACTATGACCAACATTTAAAACTCCAAAGGGCCACAACTTGATTAACCATTTCATTCATGCACAATGAAGATTTGGACGCCTGCCTTCTGACCGGATCCGACCCTGGCTCCAGCTTGTCCAGAGTTTTCATAAACAGACTAGATGACCCCCTAAAGCAGCTTCCCAGATAATCTACAGAAGCCTCAAGACCCGGATTTGGATTAGGAACGAGAAGTGAGTAGAGTGCATGCAGCACTGCGGAGAGAGGCGGGAGGAGGAGAAACAGAATGAGTGATCACTCCAATCTCTGAGCTCTGCCCTCTAGCTTCTCTCCAGATTGGGGTCGAAAGGCTAACGGTGCAAGCCCGGAGTAAGGATAGAGTTGCAAGATTTTGGAGCCCGGGAGCGTGTTTGCAGGAGGACGTAGGGGGAGATCGACGCCCCTCCTTACAAGCCCCTTTCCCTCAGACACCTCGCGGCCAAGGAAAGCCCTAGCCTCCACAGACGCTTCCAGAAAGAGCCAACTCTCAAACACTGAAAAGACCTCAAACCTAGATCCCAGTCTCCACCGCCACAAGACCCCGTGCGTGCGTGCGCGTGTGCGTGCGCGTGTGCGTGCGCGTGTGCGTGCGCGCGCGCGCGCATGCGCAGGCTGCTAGGATACCGCCTCTCCCCGCTGAGTCTTCCAGTTTCCCGGCGTGCTTCGGGCCCGCCAAATGGGAGGGGGAGACGCAAGATGGCGGCAGCCGCGAACTCTGGCTCCAGCCTCCCGCTGTTCGACTGCCCGACCTGGTGAGTGGCGGGGCGACCCGGGCTGGAGTGGCCTGGCCTGGCGTGGCCTGGGCCGGCAGGGCGGCTCATTTCTCGCAGTGAGCCGAACGGCTCAAAGACGCTGGGACCGATTGAGGGAGAACTGTCCGTCGGGCCGAGCGGCGTGTGGAGGAACTGGGAGCCTGGAGCCCGGGCCCAGGAACTGAGGAAACCCAGAGTTGGGGGCTCTGAGGCGCTCGCTTAGGCAGACCCTCGGGCAATCAGCTGGTTGGTGGGGCGCCTCGGGGCCTTGGCCCCGAACTTACCCCAACTCCTGACTGAGTGCCTGGTGCTCTTGTGGAGCACTGTACCTGTCCCCCTGCTCTCTGTCCCGAGCGCGCACGAGCTGGCCTCCCGGCCCCAGCCCAACCTCGGAGCCCCGCATCCCTCTGTCGTTGCTGCATCCCCGATGCGGTCCTGGTCTATCTCGCGCAGACTGGGAGCTCCCTGAGGGCAGGGACGGCTCTGACCTGCCACTGCGTTCTCAGCAACCAGCGCGAAGCCGGGCACAAGTGGGCATCAGTAATTATTGGAATGAACCTCTCCATCCCTTCGCAAGTTCTTGGAAATAGTGGAATAATTTAATTTAGTCTTTGAGTAAGCAATATGCATTGCTTTGCAAGGAGACCCATCCGAGTTAGAGCTATTTCTGCTGTAGCTCATCACAGTGTATTGTTTGTTACTCGTTTCTATCTCCTGTTATATTGAGATCCTCAAGGGCAAGGGCTGTCTGATGCATCTTTATATTCCCAGCTCTTAGGCCTGAGCCAGGCACATAGTAGGAGTTCAGAAAGCATGTTTTGGATGAAACATTGCTTTCCCTTCTTCCTGGACAAAATGGGCTGTTGTCCAGTGCACTGTCCTTTCAGCAGCTGCCAGAGGAGTTGGGGCAGGATTGTGAGATGACTGTGTTGCATCTTCAGGCAGGTGGGTGGATGCATTTTTTGTATGCAAATATAGGGATTCTGGCAAGATTGTTCTTTCTTCAAACTTCAAAGGAGCAAACACAGGAAGCAAGTGAATGTGTGGCTTTGAGTCCCTTTGCACTTTTGTAACACCTAGTTGCTTCAGTCTACAAATTCTCTGTCCATTTTAGTTCCTTGCTGCATTAACTTTAGAAGTTGGACCAGGACAGTAAACTTATAGTTAGAAGAGACTATTTGAGATCACCTACCGTTTCCTCAGAATCTGGTATGCACCAGGCACAGTGTTAGGTGCTTTGACATATGTATATCCCCCTTGAATGGTGTGGTTATAGGAGTAGAGAGAAAAGTTCCCTTAAACAAACCGTTGTAGAAAGACCTGTTCAACAACTATCTCTTGTATTTCTTGGTACTTGGGTTCATGGGCATGATTTTGGATTGCCCTAGCTCCGTAATTGTGTACCTCTGATTTGATCTCAGAGCTCAGGACAACACCCTCTGCCTATTTTGTGATGAGACTAATCTTGATTAGCCCAAAACACCAACTGATTTATTCTACCTTTATATGGTATTAGTGGTAGTAGCGAATCTTAAATTCAAACTCCAAGTGACCAGACTACCCCAGCTATAGTACTTGCACTCTCTATGCTGCTTTGTCTCTGAGGTAGATAGCCAGTGTTAAAATATGGGTTTCTTTGGTGCTGCTCTAAATACAGATCCACTAAAATCTGTTTTAGAGCAATTGAATCACTGGGGAAGTAAGTGTCAAATGTAGAGAGGAGCTGTAATAACAGTGAAGTAGATGACATTTCTGCTTGAACATGAACTAATTATAGGCTGGTAGGAGAGCTGCAACGTTGAATGGGACAATAATTGTAAATGGCATTTATGAACTCATCCTGGAAATGCTTTTTTTCACTCTTATTTTTCAGGGCAGGTAAACCCCCACCTGGTTTACATCTGGATGTAGTCAAAGGAGACAAACTAATTGAGGTATGGAAATACATGTCTTCCCTTTTTTTCCCACCACACTGAAGATTTTTGCCAGTGACTCACTTTTCCACCCCCTCTCCTGTGCTTTGTTTTCCAGCAATGCTACTTTTGTTCATCCTGACTTTTTTTCTATTAAAAGCACATAGTGATATAACACATTCAAACCTCATATCTCCCACAGACACTCAGTTTTTTATGACTTCTCTCACCTCCCAAATGAAGGGTTTTAATAGATCATGGGCCTGTGGGCCCCAGTCAAATTGGAAGCCCTATAACTTGGTGAATTCCCTTTCTCTAAGTGCATGGAGTTGTGTGGAAGGTGCAAGATATGCAATAACTGAAGGAGAAAGTGAATGATGTAGATTGAGTGTAAGTTGCTTTTATGAGATTCAGGCCCAAGCCCTTCAAAGAAGATAGTAAACTAAGACGCTTGCTCAAAAAGAGAATGGAATGGTGGTGAAATTCATTCATTCATTCAAAGTGTGTTGAGTGCTTACTACGTACCAGTCCAACATTGTACTTGGCATACGAACTACAACAGTAAACAAAACAAACGTGGTTCCTGTCCTCAAAGAAATCGTCCGGTGGGAAAGAGACAATCACACAAAAAAATTACATGATTATAATTTTTTTTTTTAATTTATTTTTTCCCCCAAAGCCCCAGTAGATAGTTGTATGTCATAGTTGCACATCCTTCTAGTTGCTGTATGTGGGACGCGGCCTCAGCATGGCCAGAGAAGTGGTGCGTCGGTGTGCGCCCGGGATCTGAACCTGGGCCGCCAGCAGCGGAGTGCGTGCACTCGACCACTAAGCCACGGGGCCGGCCCTACATGATTATAATTGAAATAAGTCCTGTAAAGGAAAAGCTTAGAAGAATTCCAGCTTTTATACAAGTCTCTGGAATGGACATCACATAGAACTTCAAGAGAATGTGAATTTTGATTAGCTATTAGGTTATGTAAGGTTTTTTTTAAAATCCTTATGGTACCATTTATTTACCAAGAAATGGAGATTAAGCCCACTATGACTGGAGTTGCGAGTCTCCATGTGTTAGACCAATTTTTAGTTTTCTTGCTCAGATAGAATTTAGGTTCAAGGCCCCATTATTGAGTGCAGTTGTTTTTTCTTTGGTGTATATAGTAAAAAACATTGCATTCCATGGTTGAAAAGCTGTCTGTGAGATCTCCTGAAAGATGTCTTATAAATACGTTGTTATCACTTTCAGGATGTTGTAGAGATACCCAGGTATTTTGCAAAGTGTTAAGGCGTGAGTTGTGATGAATTCTGTTATTAATTCATCATGCCCTTAGTCAGCCACTTAGAGCCCCTTTGTCGTGGGTTCTTCTGTCTTAAAGGTCACAAAACATCAAGATTATTCAAGGAAATAATTGAGCTAAAATGTCTGTAAAACCTTTTTGACTATAGACTGTTCCACAGATATAAAATATTGTTGCTAAATAACATGAAGCTTTGAAGACATGTAGGAATCTGTTTTGTTACTAGAATTTAGTAATCTTTAGTTTGCAACAAGAAGAAACAGACAAGGAGAGCTAGCCTTAATGATACCATCATATTCTTTTGTGAAATAGTTTATATTTTCAAAGCAACTCTAACCTGTCAAACATCCCTCTGATTATGGTTTCCATTAGCTGGTAATGTTCTCTGTCTTTCAGTATACTTAGGTGTGCTGAGTTGCCATGTAACTTGCCATGTCAAGTTACAATCCTTAGACATCACTGTTTTGTTTCTGAGAGGAATAGACCTGAGATGTGCTTATTTTTAAGGATTTAGGCAGCACTTGATACTAACCGAGCTATCTATATCCTAGCCTTGTGTCAAAGGCTTGTGATGTGTTGTGATAGCTGGGTTTAAGAAGTGCAATATTAAAACAAAAGCCATGAGTCTTTTAAGCCCAGTGTGTAAAGACACACTCTGAGTTATAACTCAGAGGCACAACTGGATAGTGATACTAGCCAGAGCTAGTCAAGAAATTGTGGCTTTAGTGACTGTTGAAAGACCAATGCATCGTTTCATTCACTTGGACAGAAGAAGCACATTGTCCAAAAATTAACACATTTCTTTTATTCTAAGACATACTACTTTTCCCCTACATTTTAATGTTTCTATGATTGAGATGCCTTTAACAGTGAATGTATATATTTGATTTGGAGGCCCTTTCTCTTTTTTTTCCCTTCGGAGCACCTAAATCTCTGGTATGTCTTTGGCACCTCAGAATCATAGAAATTTTGTCACTGTTATATTAGAACCCAAGAGCTGGTGGTCATATATACTGTTTCCTTGAGACAAGCCTGAGCACTGTGGTTAGCAAATTTAAGTTTGTGAGGACATAATCTGTGTATATATAAAGATGAATGCGAAATGCAGTGAGATTCAACCTGCATAGATACAGTTGTCCCTCAGTATTGGTGATTGGTTCCAGGATTCCCAACGGATACCAGAAACTGCAGATGCTTAAATCCCTATATAAAATGACGTAGTATTTGCATATAACCTATGCACATCCTCCCGTATACTTTAAATCATCTCCAGATTACTTATAAATACCCAATACAATGTAAATAGTTGGTATACTGTATTGTTTAGGGAGTAATGACAGGAAAAAAGTCTGTACATGTTCAGTAAAGATGCAACCATTGCAGGCCTGACAATCCGACGTTGGGTGAATCTGCGGATATAGAGGGCCCATTGTACGACCTAGAGAGAACAAGATGTTGAAATTGCAGGGCTCTGTCAATTCTAAAGCAATGTCTATTTTTTAACCCAAGTCTTAAAACTTGGTTCTAAACAGACATAGAGATCATCGTCTGATTGAGTTGTCAGGCTTTTGTTAAATCTTGGTGCTCCCTAGCAGTATGGGCTTGGGACAAGCTCTGCCAGCAGCAGCGGATGGGCACTGCTGGACAGGGTTTTCCAGAGGTGACCCACATACCTGGACTAGCTTGAATTAATTGAGCCTTAAGGCTAAGTTTGAAAGACTGGGTAAGTGATTGTTTAAAGAAAAATGAAGAGTGTGACCCATAGTACTTGTTCACTCCCTAAAATGTTCCTTGCCGTGTGGTGTATATTTTGATGCAGGTAGAATGAAGAAAATACATAATGCAGTGATTAAAAGAGCGTAGACTTGGGGCCGGCCCGGTGGCGCAAGCGGTTGGGTGCGCGCGCTCCGCTGCGGCAGCCTGGGGTTCGCTGGTTCGGATCCCGGGTGCGCACCGACGCACTGCTTTGGCGAGCCATGCTGTGGCGGCGTCCCATATAAAGTGGAGGAGGATGGGCACGGATGTTAGCCCAGGGCCGTCTTCCTCGGCAAAAAACGAGGAGGATTGGCGGATGTTAGCACAAGGGGTGGTCTCCCCAAAAAAAAAAAAAAAAAAAAAAAAAAAGAGCGTAGACTCTGAAGTCAGACAGGCCTGAATTTCTAATCCAACTTATAAATGTCTAGCTGTGTGAACTTGAATGTTAATTAATTTATTTATGCCTCAATTTTGTCATCTATAAAAATAGGAATAATAGTACCTACCCACTTCACAGAGTGGTTGTGAGGATGAAATGACATAAAACTCACAGCACAGTGTGTGGCACATAAGTGCTCAGCAGTTATTACTGTTATCAGTGCATGAGGTATATTTCTGCTTTTGTAAAGGGAACACTAAAGCATAGAGGAGAATAGTAGCCCACTGTGAGTTCAGTGACATAGCCAGGAATGAAATATAAGCCTCTTGATTCCTAGCCTGGTACCATACTAACTTGACTGTACTTCTCTACTCAGCATTGGGCTGTCTTCTCAGGGATTTTAGAAGGAGTATAGTGTGAAATATGAGCTAGAGCTTAATGAGACCTTGTGTTTAAAGAAAAAACATAACATAGCTGAATGAGGGTTGTTCTTCAAAGTGGTCCAATTATAGACTTTTAGAACTGGAAGAAGTGTGAGCAAAAATTCATCTAGAATCCTTCATCTATGACAGCCCAGCATACAACCAGTCTGTGGCAAAGGCTTTACTGATCTAGGATTAAAAGAAAAATAAGGACAGTGCAGGGAGTTTTTTTTTTTTTTTT